TGAGAATTAACAACTGAAAACACTTCTAGCAGTCAAGAGAAGAACCGACTGAATGCTGGAATTATCCTTGATACTATATTCCTTAGATGGCCTCTGGAGCTTTCAAGCCGTAGCTAGAAATTCTGGGTTTTTATCTACAACGTACTATAATTTTATTCCATACTGTCTGAAGTTGTTGCATATTTCAGCTTTTGCTATGATACTAGAGAATTGTTATAAAATAGATATAGGAGTATTCAAGCAGCAGTTTAGTTTCCTATAATTAAAAAAAGGGGGTGGGGGTGAGGGAAGCCCTCCTTGAAAAACTAACTGGAACTCATTAGGGTTTTCTACATGTTGGCATTTTCAGACAGCTATACTGAGGATGTGGCAGAATAGACAGTAATTGCAATTGCAAACATAAGAACAAATTGCAAATGTAAGAACACAAGCATGGAAATACTAGACTGGAGCAAGGGCGATACAGGATAGCATGTTCTCCCGACAGCGCTTAGGAGCAAACTCTTTGAGAAAAGACTGTATGAGCAGGAAAACCATACAGGAACTTTGACAATGGTACAGAAGGAGGCAGCCTAAGGAAAAAGACAAAAATATATTTGAAAACCATACATACGGGGGAAACGACTAACAGTTGATAAAAAATCCAGCATTATAGGGTTAACTGCTATTTCTCTGAGCTTCCCCGAAATGCACTGTAAAGTAAAGCACACCCTTCATGCAGCACCACAGCCACAAACCACAATTTAATGTTGTCATTTCTTTGTTTCTGTGCTATTTAATCACAAATGTACCAGAAACACTTCCACGCCTGAAAGAAAATCATGGGCCTTCCTCTTCCTTTGTATGCTTTTTTAAATTCTTTCTTTCAGTAATTTCTCTCTCAAGTCCCCTTCTTTCTCTGTCCATATCCAGGAAATAATTCCATGATAGTGCATTATTTTCCTGCTATGCAGTATACGTACTAGCAGTGCTGTCTTAAGGCATAAACTAGAAGCAGTGCCCCTCTCTACACACAGCACACATGAAACACAAAAAAGATTATTTTGCACTATGTTTTGCCATGAAAGAGTGCAAGAAAAATGGATAGGTCTGTCAATACTGTGATCTCTACTGGGACACTAAAACACTTCAAAAGCTTCTAAGAAAATTTTAACTCCTGCACTACAAATATGAATGGCAGCTTTTAAATGCTGTTCTCAGTCACACATGGAATGATTTTCTTAAATCACTGAGTGGGTGAAGTAATACCACAAACCCCTGAGCTATAATCCATGCATCTCATATACTCATTTTTCTTTGGCACAATACAACATTCATCTGCCAGAGACAGTCTGAGCTGGAATCATATAACATTCATAAGTAAATATTAAACAAAGACTACTATTTCAGGCATACACCACATACCAAAGCTGCCGTACATAAAAACAATTTTTTAAAATTGCAGCTAATTAATTTACAAAGAAGTATTAACATGATTAGGCAGCCAGACAGACATAAATGCCAGTTAACATCATTGCTGTTTTATCATTAACAATAAAAACGTGCTGCCAAAATCTGTGTAAAAGATGAGGTCAGAACTGTAGCTCGGGGAAGTTTGAATGGACAGAGTCAACACATCTGTAGCCTATAACTGAACAGACAGTTCAATGCAGTTTGTTAGCTGAAGAAATGTCAAAGGAAGAGATTTTCAATATGATTTTCAATCACCAAAAACGATAGAGAAATAGTTTTGCAGCAATTTTAAACCATCCACCAGAGCTTCAAAAGAATGGCATAAGTAGGCTGTATGATCAGTATCAATGAGTTTTAACAGAAGAAATATGTTACTAATCTAAATAGCAAAAGTACACTGATATAAATGTGTTTCATTCTTAAAAAGAACTACTGGGTACCTTCCAAGTTAGAAGAAACAGGTTTATAAATCAATGTTTCTAAAAGCCCCTGTGATCCATCAGACGTGATTCATCACAATAGTTTAAAATTAGTAGCACTGAGTAGATGTAAATGGACATAATATTTGATTTTGACCCTACAGAAAACATAAATTATCAACAAAAATGGAAAATACATAGTCTGTAGATACACCAATTGAATTTAGTGTCCTTGATATGCAAATGGAAATGGATGGTAACCAAGATACTGATATTCCAACTGATATAATCAATATGCTGACACTAATTTCAATTATTTTCACTAGATATGAATCAGTTAAATGATGTGATGATAGAAAAGGCAGTGTATATATAAAATATAATTCTATCATCACAACTGTTCTTTACATGTTTTAAGCTTTAAATGCAATAAACAAAACTATGGTTTTAGTTTTGTACTCAAATACATAAGAAAACAAAATCATAAAAAGATTGAACGTTTCTAAATACAGTCCCCATAATGGAGGCGACGTGGCTGTGTATGATTTATTTTGGTTTGCTTTCTTTACGAGCTGCCAAAGTGCATCATAATATTAAATTATTTCACTAAAGAATTTGCATGCTGATATCATTGAGAATGTTATTTTATCCTGCAATTGAAAAGCCAAGACCATGATCAAATATACTTTTTATTTTGGCCAATTGTTCTTTTCCATCACCACTCTAGAGAGCAAATTGTTCTCACCCATAATTACACTGTCACTTTCTAAATCAAAAGAAAACACACTGAAATTGTTACAGGCTGCATCAACAATTTCAATCATGCATTAACTGATTAAATAGTAAATGCATTATAGTCTCAAAACGTCAAAATACACTTTTAATTTGGAAAATAAAAACATTTTCCTTTTCTTTTTTATGCATTTGCATTGAATTAAAGTGTAGGCTAGAAAAGAGTTGATTAGTAACATTCTCCTGCTTAAGAAATACTGAAGTAAAGCTGTGCCAGGAATCAAAAACATTTCTTGGGATCTTGCCTAGTTGTAGCAGAACAGTTTTTTCTTATGAAAACACTACCATGATGTTTTAACACTCTTCATGATAAAATGGCTGAATATCAGTTAGGATGCAGGTAATTCCTAGCAAATCAAGTACTCTTTCACAGCTAGTAGTGAACCTCTAGCACTGATCATAAAGGCTTTTATTTTCCCTGCCCACTTCTCTGCTTAGTGGAGCATACAACTGCATCGAGAAAAAGATTACTGACCTGAAACTATTGCAAAATGCTGTCCCAAAGGGAATTAACCTCTGATCACACGGTCATGTGTACTTCCACACATATTATCAGGCAGGACTAAGATGCTTTTCTACATCCAGAGGGACTCTGTTTTGGCAGTAAAATCGAGTACCTATATCTGTGCTAAAATTTGAACACCACATTAATATCTTGAACCACATATCTTGAACCTTACTTGGATTCTCTTTTTTTTTTTCTTTTTTTTTGTCTGTGAGCCTCTTGTTGGAGGCCAGTAAGTAGCAGTGTACCCCAGGGGTCAATACTGGGTCCAGTCATGTTTAACATCTTCATTAATGATCTGGATGATGGGATAGAGGGTACCCTCAGCAAGTTTGCAGATGACGCCAAACTGGGGGCAGAGGCTGATAAACCAGAGGATTGTGCTGCCATCCAGAGGGATCTTGACAGACTGGAAAAATGGGCTAGCAGGAACCCCATGAAGTTCAACAAAGGGAAGTGCAAAATCTTGCACCTGGGGAGGAACAACCCCAGGCACCCGTACATGCTGGGGGCTGCCCAGCTGGAAAGTAGCTTGTCAGAGAAGGACCTGGGCTGCATTAGGAGGAGTGTTGCCAGGAGGTCAAAGGAGGTGATCCTTCCCCTCTACTCAGCACTAGTGAGGCCACACCTGGAGTAATGTGTCCAGTTCTGGGCTCCCCAGTACAAGAGAGACATGGACATATTGGAGAGAGTCCAACAAAGGGCCATAGGGATGATCACAGAATCACAGCATGGTAGGGGTTGGAAGGGACCTCTGGAGATCATCTAGTCCAACCCCCCAGCTAAAGCAGGATCACCTAGAGCAGGTTGCACAGGATCACATCCAGGCAGGTTTTGAATATCTCCACAACCTCTCTGGGCAGCCTGTTGCAGTGCTTGGTCACCCTCACAGTAAAGTTGGTTTTCCTTATATTGAGATGGAACTTCCTGTGTTCCAGTTTGTGCCCATGCCCCTTGTCCTGTCACTGGGCACCACTGAAAAGAGTCTGGCCCCATCCTCTTGACCTCTGCCCTTTAGATATTGATAAGTATTGATCAGATACCCTCTCAGTCTTCTCTTCTCCAGACTAAAGGATTGATGAAAGGACTGGAGCATCTCTACTGTGAGAAAAGGCTGAGAGAGCTGGGACTGTTCAGCCTGGAGAGGAGAAGGCTCCAGTGGATCTTATCAATGTGTATAAATACCTGAAGGGAGGGTGCAAAGAAGAGGAAGCCCAGTGGTGCCCAGCAACAGACAGGACAAAAGGCAACAGGCACAAACTGAAATGCAGGAGGTGCCATCTGAACATCAGGGCACACTCTTTTACTATGAGGGTGACTGAGCACAGGTTGCCCAGAGAAGCTGTGGAGTCTCCATCCTTGGGAGATATTTAAAAGCTGCCTGGCCAGGTCCTGGGCAACTTGCTCTGGGTGACCCTGCTTGAGCAGGGAAGTTGGACCAGATTACCTCCAGAGGTTCCTGCCAACCTCAGTCATTCTGCGTTTCCGTGATAATTATCTCAGTAGAGTTGGATTCTGGCATTCTGATATATTTAAGCACGTTTGCATTCCAATCCTATTTGTCATATTACAGCATTTCACACATAATTTAAACCATTCTATGGCATTCTAGCAATGTTCAGTCATATCGATACTGCTGGGCCTGGAGACTATAATGAAGGAAGGGGGGCCTGCATTTAAAGTAATTTTACAGATCTCATATTCACACTGCTTCATTATAGTTGGACATACAGAAAATAATATAGACAGTAAAATGGGACAATAGCGAAGCAGAGAGTGAAGACACAGTTTAAAGAGAGAATTAAAATTTTAAAAATACATGTAATACTTACTGATACTTTTAAAGCTAGGCCAGTGAAGAGAATAGCAACCTCGAAGATTCAAACGTAATACATAAGGACGCCACTTCTGCAAAATATTTACTACTATTTGGTTCTGAACGTTATGCTTCACTGATGAAAAATTGATCTAAAAATGTAAACAATTGATATATAATTCAGTACTAAAAATAGGTAATACCTACGAAATACACATCATTATGAAAATCACTAGTTAATACATGAAGTTTTATGTAAACATTGAATCAATAGTCTGGAAAACACGTAAATGTCTGGTTAATACATACATAAAAATTCTAGACAAATTACTAAAACTACTTAAATGTAGAGGAAGCCTGTGTCTATAGTATTTATGAAGCTGAGGGAAGTCTTGAACTGCCAAAATACGACATGCCAGAGTGTTATGTGCAAATAAAATTGTCAGACTTGAATATTTACTTTATTTTTTCCCTTTAAGATGTATAAAATCCTAAAGTTGCTAAAGATTTTTTTTTCTGATTAATGGTCTACCGATACATCAAGATATCAAGAATATGTAACCTACCATCTTAGTTTTAGTAGAAGAATCCTTAAGTGATTTAAGCTGCAGGCTAGGGATATCTAGATATTTGACTAAAAACATTACTTTTCATAGTATCTGTCAAAAGTTCAAGTTTAAGAAGTTTTAACAAAAATTACTAGAAAATAGTTTTAACAGTCTGTCTACTTACTTTTTAAACAAAAGCAGGAAAGTCAACATACAAACATTTAATAAGAAATATCTCCTTTTTGGAGAAGACTTTTTCATGCCTTCTTAAATTTGTTCATTAAAAAAGCCAGAAAAAGCTTTTTTTTCCCTGTTTGTATAATCTGCTACAGCTATACCACATCTGTTTGTTGTACATTTCATAGTATATGTTTATTACCCAAACACTTTGAAAAAACAATTACCATTATTTCTATGCAGAATGCTTGGAAGTGGTTACAGTACCAAGAAGTCAGGACTTCAGAACTTTTTCCAGTTTTTCACTTTCTTATTAGGATTTTGTTCTTCTTACATTAAAATTATCAGAAGTTTTAATGCTAGTTTCATTAAGATCATTAATTCATCACAGTAACTTAAGACTAGACCTAATAAAGGTCCAGGCACCTACAAGCTGGGCACTGCAGTGTCTTTTGGATGTTGGTGCCCAGGGTAGATTGAAGAACTCAAATCTGAACAGAGAGTCTACAAAATACATGACAGCTAAGCACATCAGAAAGTCCATTTTAAAGAAACTCACACAGGGAACAGGCAGCTGCCTAGAACCAGACACAAGACATGTAAGCAGCATTGTTGAGCCCTCCAGAACTTCTTTGCCTCAGTCAGGAAGGCAGGTATAGGTCCCCAGCTACCTGGGAACCAGAGCCTGTGTCCCGCTTAGGGGACAGAACAGTGTATTTGGGAGACTCAAGTTCAGATCTCTTCTCAGCCTCACAAGGCACAACTCTGTTCCCCTTCTGGATCCCACATGGATCTCTTCGAGTGGGAGAGGTGCCTGTTGTCAGGGTCCTGTGTTGACCAACCACACTTTAGGCATGTCTATGTCCGGCCATGTATCCAGCTGACCCTGACCCTAACTCATGGACTTCACTTCCTGACTTGACCTTGGAGATGCATCTTCACAACAGGGCTGACAGGCTGTCTGATGGGTGAGCGACTCTGGTTACTCTCACCAGACCTGCTCTGCTCTTCTTATTCAGGTTCTGTGGGACTGTGCTCCTTGTCAGTGGGAGGCACTGCCCCTCCCTGCCCTTCTAGCGCTCTTGGCTCCCAGCTCGCCTTCCCTTGTGGCACAGCCCTACTGCTTCCTCACACCAAGCTCTGCAGGTCGTGCAGTTCTCAGAGAAAAGAGAAAAACAATCTCGTTGACCACCATCATCATCATGAACTTTTAGGTCCAAAAAGGAGATGCCTATCAGACTAGACATCTCCAGGATTATGCAGAAGATGCACAGGGTATTTTGGATTGTAATTTCAGACCTGAGGGCCTAAAATCTGACCAAATCATGTTTGAAGTGCCCAGACACTTTTAAAAATCTAGCCTTAATTTTTCTTTGTACTGCTGATAAATGGCTATATGTGAGGCAATGATATAGAGGCCATAATGATACTGGTTGAGGTGCCATGGCTAGTCTTACGCCACTGCCTAAGGACTGGGGAGCCTTGAGGTAGTCCTTCACACCTGAAGCCTCATGAGCACTACAGAAGGCAACAGCAATGAGCAGTGTGATTGTATTTTTAAGTTCAAGGCAAAGACAGAATAGCTATTTCAGGTGTGGCTCCAAACAGACCATGCTAGCATGGTCACACAATGTGCATTACAAAGCAAGTTGACTGAAATGTGTGTGCTAAGGAACTGGACTGCTAAGGTAGAAGACATAATGCAATACCTTGGACACTGCCATGTGCTTTGGGGACACAGTGACCCCCTCAACAACTCTAAGAATTCATGAGTATGGAAGTGAGCTGGTCTGCACCACTTGTTCCAGGGATGACAAAAGTCTCTCTAGAGCAACTACAAATCGTCTCAGAGTATATGGAACTGAGTTTATGTTCTCCTTCCACAGTAGTCATATAGTGCCTGTTTAGATTACCGAGGGAGCCTGAGACACCTCACTTAACTGCCTACATTTAGTGGGATATGGCTAAGCCTCAGTGGCCATTTCTCTTTCTTTTCCATTGACTTTATAATGATATACCACAGACAACTTCATTTGAGTTGCTCCTATTTTTTTATTCATGTAGCTGAGTAGAACAAGTAATTTTCTGGGAAAAAACTTTTATCCTAGATATTTAGCATTCTTAAAGTAAACTACCTCTTTGCTTCACTCTTTTTTAAAATAAATAAAATTGAAATAAAATATTGAAAGTGATTATCTTTCTTACTTCACTCCATAATGAACTGTTCTGAGTTAGTAGCATCCACGTTTGGCTAACTTGAGCACATCTTGCCAGATCAACTAAATTTACATAATGGAAAACCTACATCAGAAAAACAGACATACACGATATTAAAAACTATTCATCAAAAAGCATTGCTGTATTAAATTATATATATTCACCTATCCTAAACAACAAGAGCTATTTTCAAATTAAATACTTCTTTCTTAGGAGTTTAAACATACCTTTTATAGCAGAATGCCAATAATTACTCTCATTAACAGCCTTTACAAAGAGTAGGAAAAGACAGCTTTGCTTAAAAGCTCATCAATTCAAGCTATAATGGAGAATGACACAAATGTTTCAAAACTGAAGATTTTTCATGGACCATCAGCAGTTTCATTTCACTTACATTAAAACAACACTTGTTAAAATACCTCTCTTTTAAACTGATTTGAGACAATATAATTTCAACTAAAGCTTTTTAGATTAAATATAGTACTTTTAAATTCAACTTCGAATTACATATAAGAGTTTGTTTAGTTTCTACCTCAGAGGTCTTTTTAATTTAACTAGCATAATTTGGTAAATATATCTATAAATCTTTAATCTCAGAATATTAAAGTCTATGTGTTGTATTATGGTAGAAAAAATATAAAAGCTATACTGATAGTTCATCTTATACAGCTCAAAATTCTAAAATATACTGCCACCAATAAGTAACATTTTGAAAAATTAAATTATAGCATTCCAAAAAGGTCTTGTCCTGGTAAATAATCTTAGATACAGCAATCTCAGGCCATAAAAGTAAGAGACTGAATGAAGATTACATTTGGCAAGTTTCTGCCATAGCTCCTCACCTGCCATTTTTATGACCAACTGTCAAACAGTATTTCTGCCAACAGAATGCTAATGTTTCATCTTAGAAGAAACTTGGTAAAACAAAAGGAGGGAAAATACGGTAAAATTTAATGTCTTTGCTATAGAAACACAAACACATTATATTATAACCATCTGAAAATATAAGATGCATTTAAGACTCAAAGATAAAGAGCATAGGCAGAATTTTACATAAAACAGCTGGATTATTTACATACTAAAAAATCCCATATCCATAATCATTTGCAGAACTGAATCACTACATCATATGCTGAAATATAAATATCTGATATGAAATGCAACACTTAAAATGTGCAGTTCTAAGCATGAAAAAGAAACCAGCTGACAGGAACACAGTTAATAAAATCCTGCATTACTTTTCCTAAAGTAACTATTATATAGGGAAAACTTTATGCTTGTAATGTAATTACTTTCATATCTGCACAATAATACATCAATGGCAACAGTTTAAATCTGGTATGGTAATTGGTTGATAGCAAAAATACAAAAAGAACTCTCTAATTTTATCCCATAACCTGTCACTGAAGAGGAATTTTTCTTATTAATATACATTTTCAAAGAGCTTAGCACTTAAGATATGTACCTTAACAACAAGATGTCAGAGTGAATACATAGCAAAATGCCAGTGTGTTTTACAGAAGAGTATTTCCATATTAGTTATACAACTTTCCATACAATAAAACCTGTTTTTCATTATAGCAGTATATGAAGTATGATTTGAAATAAGCTCCAGAAAAATGAATGCATACTCTGTGCAGAGCTCACTCAAACTATACAGGCACAAGAGAACTCTGGAGTCAGAGGTTTTGAGACTCAAAGGAGTGTTGTACTCAGAAGCAATACACATAAAGCCTTTGTAAAAGTAAGGCAATAATTGCAAAATTTGTTTCACTTCTGGTAGTCAACACAGCTAAGAAGTTGTGGT